AGTATTTGCCTTAATCCTAATTGAGATGATTATTGCAAACGCGGGTTTAGCTATTGCAATCCTACGTTTTAATGCTGTGTATGGGTCTAGTGGATTTGCTATGTAAGTTCTCAAAAACTTATTTTGTGAACCACCTCAACCCGTGTTCCATTTAATTGCAGTTACGCATCCTGGGGTTACATTCGTCATTTCTGTGGTTACCCAGAAAGTATGGTACGAGCCCCTTCCCACTTCAGTTGGCCCAACTATTGAAATTTTAGTTTTTTTCTTATCAAACACAAATAATAGAAATGTAGCAGGGTGTTATAGGTTTAAAATATCAACAATGAATAGTTTGATAATATATAGTAGAAAACACCAACTTTATCACTCCCTGATCAAATTTGCAGCATAAAAATAACACATGTTGCAATTACAGCATATCAACCTATTTTCATTTCAATGCAAAATAAGTCTATAACGCATAGGTGGCTGTGAACAATAAAAGCTATGACAGTTGTTTTTATTAATCACAGCTGTCAGAATACGTTTAAAATAGTTTTGGGTAGTTAAGGTTTACAAAATGGGTAGAGGAAAGGTTATTAGTGAGAAAATTCGGTTACTGATAATTAAATTTTTTAATTCTGGGAAATCAAACTCAGGAATTGCAACTTTGTTAGACTTATCGCGGTACAGTGTGATAAATATTGTTAGAAGATATAGCGTAACTGGTTAAGTTAATATTAAGCCACGATATGTGAAAAAAAAGGAATATCACAAATGCCGACCGAAGAGCATTAAGAAGAATAATCGTGAAAAACAGGCGTGCCAATTATTTACAATTAAGTGCTCTGTGGAGTGACGCTGTTGGAAGGAGAATTTCGAGGACCACAACTTATAGAGAGGTCCACAAACTGGGATTTAGCACATGCAAGGTGAGTTTTCTTATAAAAAAGGTGAAGTAAAAACCCTAAAGCTGCACAACTTGTTTATAGGCCAAAGAAAAGCCACTATTAACTCCACTGCAAAAGAAAAATCGGCTTAGATGGATTAAAGAACATAGACAATGGACACCTCAACAATGGTGTGCAATACAATGGAGTGATGAGGCCCGATTCGAAGCTTGTGTCGGTGACAGTCGCAGTAGAGTTATTCGCAAAAAGAATGAAGCATTCCATGTTGACTGTCTGAAGAGAAAAGTGAAATTTAGAGCATTCATTATGGTCTGGGGCAGTATGTCATCAAAAGGAGTAGGAAAACTTTATTTTATTGATGGAAATGTGGATATCAACAAATATTTGGCAATTTTAGAAGAATCGCTTTTACCAGTGATGGAAGAATGTTTGACATCCGGCCAAGATTTTGTGTTTCAGCAAGATAGTGTAGCGTGCCATACTTCAAAAAAGGCCATAAAATGGATGAAAGAAAATAATGCACCACTTTTGAAATAGGTTTCTAGCAGTCCAGATCTGTCACCTATTGAAACTTTGTGGCACGAGATGAAAAAGGTTCTACGACAACATCCTGCTCTTACAATCACCGAACTGAGACAAAAGCTTCAACAAATATGGGATTGTTTTACACCAAATGTTTACCAAAACTTGGTTAACACTATGCCCCAAAGAATTTCAGCCGTAATAAAAAATAAAGGTGATGTTACCCAATGCTAATCTTTCAATCTTTGCTTTGTTAACTTCGCGCATTTACTCGCACATTGTTTATTTGTTCACATGTTCTATTAGTTATAGGTCTAAGTGATTTCAAATATGTATTTTTTACAACTGGAGCGTATCTAAAATGTTTTTGAGAAAATAAATTGTTTTAGAAGTAAATAGTTTCGTCATGTTTAGTTTATAAAGGCATATTTTGGTACAAATCTTGAAGTGGGTCAACTGAAGTGGGAAGGGGCTCGTACATGCTGAATGTGCTCAACTTGTTTATAGGCCAAAGAAAAGTCACTATTAACTCCACTGCAAAAGAAAAATCGGCTTAGATGGATTAAAGAACATAGACAATGGACACCTCAACAATGGTGTGCAATACAATGGAGTGATGAGGCCCGATTCGAAGCTTGTGTCGGTGACAGTCGCAGTAGAGTTATTCGTAAAAAGAATGAAGCATTCCATGTTGACTGTCTGAAGAGAAAAGTGAAATTTAGAGCATCCATTATGGTCTGGGGCAGTATGTCATCAAAAGGAGTAGGAAAACTTTATTTTATTGATGGAAATGTGGATATCAACAAATATTTGGCAATTTTAGAAGAATCGCTTTTACCAGTGATGGAAGAATGTTTGACATCCGGCCAAGATTTTGTGTTTCAGCAAGATAGTGTAGCGTGCCATACTTCAAAAAAGGCCATAAAATGGATGAAAGAAAATAATGCACCACTTTTGAAATAGGTTTCTAGCAGTCCAGATCTGTCACCTATTGAAACTTTGTGGCACGAGATGAAAAAGGTTCTACGACAACATCCTGCTCTTACAATCACCGAACGAGACAAAAGCTTCAAGAAATATGGGATTGTTTTACACCAAATGTTTACCAAAACTTGGTTAACACTATGCCCCAAAGAATTTCAGCCGTAATAAAAAATAAAGGTGATGTTACCCAATGCTAATCTTTCAATTTTTGCTTTGTTAACTTCGCGCATTTACTCGCACATTGTTTATTTGTTCACATGTTCTATTAGTTATAGGTCTAAGTGATTTCAAATATGTATTTTTTACGACTGGAGCGTATCTAAAATGTTTTTGAGAAAATAAATTGTTTTAGAAGTAAATAGTTTCGTCATGTTTAGTTTATAAAGGCATATTTTGGTACAAATCTTGAAGTGGGTCAACTGAAGTGGGAAGGGGCTCGTACATGCTGAATGTGCTCACACAGAAAAGAGGCCATAACCAGTTTTCGGTATCTCAGATGAAGGCATGAGGCTTAAAAGCAGGGTGTATGGCAAAAATTGACAATGCCATTGTGAGGAGATATAAACACGTTAAAATTTTATATATTTTATTACGCAAAGCATTTCCATTAAATTTATGGAGAACCTAAGGACTGTACACATTAAAAGGTCGAAGATAAAATCATCCTGCATATTTGTTTGTAGCTTGAGAAAAGCTATACATTACATAGGACGCACAATCTCTTTGAAAAGAGGATTTGTAAAAAAATAATAGCGAATCAGAAATACTATTTGCTGAATAAAAGCAAATGGAGCAAAATATTCATGTATTAGATCAAACTCACCATTTTTGCCTAATTACACACACATACAGATAACCAGACTTTGCACATGGTGCTCTTAACTTGACGTGGTGAGGAGAAGAAAGACACCAATAAATAAGTGTTAACTGACCGGACCTATTTACAGAAAGAACCTATCAAACCGAGACATTTTTCTTGAGATAAGCGATCAATCAATCAATATCAATAACCTTTATTTCCATACAGACAATATATAATTGTATTCGTTCGCTACAAACCTACAACTAATCTCAAATTGCAATGTTCAAAAATTCATCAATGTGGCATGGTAAATTATTAAAAAGGAGCGGACCAATTTTATTAGGTGATCGAAATGCCGCTTTTGATTTGCTAAAGTTTACACATAAATTATTACAAGTCCTTGTATCATAATTATGCAAATCACGATTCCGCTTGAATTTTTCATTATTTTTAAAAACATGTAAGCACAATTCATATATACAGGGTGTCCGCAAAGTTGGGGTTTTCCTTTTCAGAAACAACTACCCTTGAAATAACAAAGGTAATGTGTAGCGAAACGAGGGCGATCAAGTAAAAAAAAATAAAGGAAAATGTACTCACTCTCCAATTGACGAGAAGAGCTAAGTACGTCTCTGCCCGAAATCATACCGCTCCAGCAGAAAATGAAATAAGCTGATGCGCTACCGAGCAGAGGCAGGCAAACAAGGAAGGCAAAATGTTGCGTAAAAAGTCTAGGTATTGCATCCCGTCCAATCGATTTGGGAGAATAAATGGTCCAATGAGCATACCGTTCACCATGCCAGCCCAAACATGTTTGTTGAAAATGTGCCCTACGGACAGCGTGCGGATTTTCTACTGACCAAACATGAGTGTTGCAGAAGTTATTCGCCCCATTACGCGTGAACGTAGATTCGTCCGTCACCAATATGCACTTCAAAAAGTCCGGATTATTGTCATGTTGATGCAACAACCACTCACAAAACCGCACTCTTACTGAAAAAATCATCAGGTTGAAGGGCTTGTACACGTTGGACGTGAAACGGATACAGCCCCTCTTCACGCAGCGTTTGCCACACTTTAGTTTTTGATACTTGCACTTCTCTAGCCACGTCTCTACTGCTTGTTGAGGGATTCTCGTCTACGCGATTACCGCTACACGCGTGACCGTAACCGTCGGTTGAAGGTTGCATACTGACCTGACACACTGACCCCGACCCAGTTCTGTCGTCGGGTTGAGCTAGTGTCCTAGTACCACTCGGGGATGTCGCGACTACAGGACGGCATTCAGATATTGTTGATGTTGCAGAGCCCTTTATCTCGGTTCCCTTAAGACGTTGGTGTATATGGTACTAAGAAAAATTGCTTATATTTTCAAGATCTACACGTCGTGTAAAGGAAAACCCCAACTTTGCGGACACCCTGTATATACAACGAAGGGACAGTTAAAATGTTGAAAATTATAAAATATTTTTTGCAACTTTCTGTTGATGAGATGCCTGCTAATGATCGGATGCATCTTTTTTGAGACATAAATACATCTTCAGAGCGTGTTGACCAACCCCAGAAACATACTCCATATCTTAATTTCGAATCCACATTAGCAAAATAAACTTGTATCAATTGTTCAGCTGTTAAGATGGTTTTTAATTGCCGCAACACATAGCTTTGAGAGTACATTTTTGATGTGAGAAATTCGCAGTGGGACTTCCAATTTGTGGGTAGATATGTGCGGAATTTCACGGAGCGTAGAACCGTTACAGTATTGCAACACCTGTTTATTGGAAATATCTCTATTTCAGAGGGCCTGGATGCATCCCTCCTCTACCACGGAGTTTGTGACCGTCTCCGTGCCCCAGAGCGTGAAGTCCGTCTACATGCTCTTCGAGTCCTCCAGGACCTGATACCAGCTACAAACCAACATTGTCTGGACAAGCTCATGAGGCCGCTTCTGCCTGAGCTGGTAGAAAACGTGGGCCATGAGGCTCCAGCTCTACGAAAAGGAGCTATTGACGCACTGAGGAAGTATCTGCAACACACTGATGAATGTGATAGGCTGTTGGTGGAGCTGGTGTTGGCTGCAGAAGAGAACAGTGTGGTGGCAGGTGAGGGTTGATAAGTTCCTTCGGAAATATCAGGTGTATCAGAAAATTTTCTTCGTGCCAATATGAAAAATGTTCGACAAGTACTCGCGTCTTCATTCGACTAATATCTGGTTCAATCTTTATTTCCCCAAATGTATAGATGCTGGTCTTCCATATGAACTACAACGAAAACAATTCGTTTTAGAATTTAGAAAAACGCGATAGTGTATCCAAAGAGTAGCTCTATCATATCAAGATAAGATCTTCGTGGAATGTAATGTGTAATCCGCCGGTCGACTTCATTGACATTGGGCTTCATCTACATTTTTTTAACTTTTATTAGAATGATTGGAATTTAAATACATGACAAATATGAAATGGACATCATTCCAAAAGAAAAGAGAATTGGCACGGCCATTTTTCACCTCCCCCTGAAAAGCTGGTTTGACGAACATTTATTTAACATCAATATACGAAACGAATACGATAGAAACTAGTATTTTGACGCTTAACAGCAAATTTGCGAAATACGCGGTTTAGCATCAAAATACCTGATATTTGACTAGTTTTTAACATATCAGGACGCGAGGTAACAGAAAACATTGCGATCGACTGTCGAAGTGTTACTGGTTTACCACAAAACGCAGCAATCTTTGATCTGACCGCGCTTAGTTTCGCAATTCGCTTATATGCGGTGTTGCCAAACTGACAAAATATGTTTAGAAAATGCTACATTTATACTGAGTTGAATGGACTCCAGTCCTTTTCGCGGTTTTTGGTGGTTACGTCAAAAATTCATACGAAATAAGGGCCAGTTTTTCTAGGCAACTATGTCAAATAACCGACGAAAGACAAAAAAAAAATTTAAAAGTTGAATAGCTTTGTGAAAACTGACAGGTTTTCAGAATAGCTTCTGTTTACGTGACGCGGATGGCATTCGCGTTAAGTGTGACATAACTTTACTGAATAAAAAATAGACTTCGTAGGATACAAAGGGCTGATAAATATCCCCACCATAAATAAATGTTCAAACTATAGTAGATCTGACCAAAAATGCTTTTGTTACGGGTGGTGTACCATGAATTTATTCAAAAAGGATTATCTGCCTGGCATCACCGCATTAATCTCTGACCAAATAGTAACAGCACATGCTTAGACACCATCAGCTGATTTGTGGACGTACTTTTTTTTGGCTACATTTCTTATTGATTCGCCCTTTGTTCTCTCGGTATAACTAGTGTTTGGTGCATCCTTGGCTACTAATGAGGTCCAGATAGACTTAAGTCAACACTGCAAGATAAAAAGGCGGCAAAGGAATATAGCACTGCATAGTAATACCAGACCATATACTTTTGTCGTTACAAGGTTTTCGGTAGGGTAAATAATTTATTTAAAAGCGAAGACGATACCAAAAGATTGGATATACAGATTGCTATCACATTAAAAAGAGGTTACAAATAGTGGTAAGCATCCTTATCCAATAAAGATTATGCAAGGTACCAAAAAAATATTTTTTTGTTACAACCTAAAAAAGTACAGAATTTTTTGGTAGACGTGATAGTTGTTGTGTGAAAATTCCCTGGTACCACGCTATGTCTATAAGGTCTCTTAATGCTTGATCACAGGAGGGGAGCTCAAGACTAGGCTTCCTGCAACTAAAGGTGATCCGAAGATGCTTTGATTTTGAAAATCATCTATCTCCACTATTGTCCAGTAACCTGGTAGGTACTGTCTGGACTTTGATGAGATGATAAAATTCTTTTCAATAGCGGTGGAGCTTTTGGAAAAGATAATAATGCGTAAACATCCCTTTTCGATATTACCGTGCCTTCCCAAGAAAGGCATACCTCATTTTGTTGTACATGGTTCATACGCTTGTCTCTGAGGCAGAAACAAATTATTGTAAACCCATTATCAGTAGATTTAGGAAAGATTTTACTATTTTCATGTACGAGTATACATTTTAGAGTTTGGTAACCTCTTCTGAAGGACGCTAACTTGTTCCTTATAGTGATGAAACATTAGATAAAATCTTCATCTCTATAATGTAAAAGTATAACATGAGAGAGAGGGAGACATAAAGAGAGCGGGAGAGCGAGCCCCTGTAAAACCTTTTCATGACATCAGAAAACGTAGCACTCTAAATTAGCTTTAATGCACGTTCTTGACAGCTTGTTCGCGTGATTTTGAACAACGCAGTACAGTGTAAGCAGAATTAGCTTCTTTCTTATCAAATATTCGTTTTTCCCAATCAAACGTCGCACCGGCATGCTTACCCTTGAAAAGAGAGAGATACTGGAAATAAGGAATATAAGCTAGGTATATCATGTATGTTTCTATTGTGCGGATAAGTACAAGTGTGCTTAAAATCGATTGTTCGACCCTTGTTTTTGTTGTGGGCAGAATATGCTCGTACAATATCGGCTGACGCGATAATCAATCAGCAAATTATACAATATGTACTGGATAATGTAGTTAGTGCGTTCTGTATTGCATTTGTATAAAACACAGAAACATCCCGATCAAGCTTCTTCTGTATCTGCATTTGTAGAGAAACATGAAGCTTTTCTCTTCAACTATACTGTGTTAAAAATATTCGCCTGATAATATACTATGCATTGCGCTAATTTTCAATCGTCGATAGTAATAGAGAAGCGGTAGTCGCTTTCTTCATTTTGCCTATACGCCAACTAATTTTGAAACAGTATGGACAGCGCGGAAAAATTTTGAAATTGAAAAGGAGTAGAAGAGGTACTGGGGAAACATTCAATGTAATTCTTCTGATAGTCTCCGTTTTCTGGCGATTTGAAGTACCTAGAAGTAATGTCTCTCCAATAAATTTATCTAAATATGGATATATATGGGGGCGGCTAAAAATTGGAGAATGCGTCAAATTATCGAGACTTTTTGGTTGTTACAGCCACTCCATTCCTGATTACTTCCGAGATAACAGACTGTACAGCTAGAAAAGTTGTCGATCAGCTATGGCAGGACCTCAACAGCCCTCTTTTCAATCAGGAAGTGATCGCAAAGTCCCTAGCCAGGATAAGGTACATCCTAGGAGAAGAAAGATTTAAGAGTTTGCTAGGAAGGCAGCGTTTTGAAGAACTGGTTAAAATATGTGATAATTACGGAATTCCTATAGGTAACTACTAAAATACTTTTATTCAGATCAATTATAAGTGTTTATCATTATTATTCCACAAGAAGGGCTTGTTATCCAGGAAAGTGCGTACGTGTATGACGTTGAGCGACGATATTAATGTTTGTCATGAGCAACCTTTTTATTTGTTTTATCAACCATTTGTAAAATGTATAGAAGAAAGAGTGTAAGAAGGCGATTTTTACTACCTTGTTCAGAAGCATCAGATTTTGGGAATTCTTATGAAAAACTTTCACCCCAGGAAAATTAAGTAAGCTTGGCATTGTGAGTTGGGCACTGTGAGTCATCTGAGGGTCAGCATAAATTTCTAATTTCCAAATGCAGATGACCTCATCTTTGGAATTCTCTTACAGACTACAGTGACGGAGATAGCAGTAGCGAAAAAGCCGTCTGGACCATGGATGAGCTAATAGAAGATAGGGTAATATTAGAGACTGAAATTACTTTGAAGACTGGTCCCGCTATTACGATGAAGATTCATGAAGAAAGTCGTCCCGGAAGTATTATGGACATGATTTGCAGTGACGAAGAAAGGTATTTACTAGGTTATCTTCATTTACATGCGGAATTAAAGCTGCAGACTTTCTATCGGATTGAGCGTTTTTAACACGATTTTATTAGCTTGGCCTGTATATACCAAGCACCCAGCGCTTTTTACTCTGAATTGAATTATTCTGTTAATAACTTTTTTATTATAATTTTATTTTGAGGTCATTAATTATGATTGATTTTTCGACCATCTACTGCTGTAGTATAAACTCTTTTTAATTAAAAATTATTTTCTACTTTTTAGTTCGGGAGCTATAAAAGCGTGTTTTTTAGTTTTTTAAACTATTATTTATTTATTTTTCACTACTCCATGGTATAGCCTCAACATCAACAAGCAAGCCCAATGGTGCAGAGTGGCACATGAATATATCATTATCATACTAAATGTCATAGGAACATCCAGTAATAATGAATTTACTACAATGATTTCCTGAATATATGTGTTTAGTTTGGGAGAAGAAACGTTCAGACTTTCAACTAATTCGATACCGTCTATTTTTACAAAATAGTAAGCGACAGTTGTATTTTGTAGCAACGTTTGGCACTTGATTATCGTACAATACATAGTGAAGTGCTGCTTAACCCGCGATCACTCGCGCGGTTAATTATTACGTCGTTACTCGCGTGTTAGATTTAATCTAACATATGAATTTTGGATAATTTTATATAGAAATAAAATACAGTGTAGTATTTATTGTTAATATTTATTGAAAAAACATAGAGTTCGTTTGTGAAATAAACAAAACATTGCATTTGCGCCAATGAAAGGTAGCATTAAACAATGAAAACTGTATTAAACAAAATAAATGAACAAAATCGTAGTCAAAAAGCAATCAAATTGTGCATTCAATCTACTCGTCTTCTTGTATAACGCAGTCCTGGCATAAAATTGTAGTTTTTATAGTATGTTCCTTACAAATAGGTTTGGCGCATACATCACAGTGGTAATTTGTAAATCTATTTTTCCTAATTGGACAAAAAGAGCATCTAGGCTTTCGCTGGGTACCAATTCGTTCCTCGTTGGCTCGTTCTGCTGAAGGTGCTTCATGACCAAGGACATTTCGAATTTTTTGCTTCAAGGGAATTGAAAAGTGTTGAATTCTAGCACGCTTGAATAAATGAGGTTTAGCATGCTGTTTTGCTAAGTCGCTAAGTAATTGTCTTCGAAGCGCATTATCTCCGGTGTTGCTGGTATAAATAATCCTGGAATTTATCCCTCCAATGTTCAACATTGCGCAAAAGACAGTGAGTGGCCACCTGTTGCTTATCCTTGTGACGGAATATTCCGTTTTCATTCTGTCTACAACGTCCACTGCGCCCTTTGAAAGGTTATAAAATGTAATAACCGAAGGCTTATGTTCGTCACCAGATTAAATATCAATTTCGTCGTTATCGTGGAATGTGGATAACATCAAAAGCATGCATTGATTTGGGTCTTTTTCATATGCAAACATACTACTTTTATTTTTACGAATTTTGGTATTTAGAAATGAAGTCGGGATTTCTCTTTTGTTTTTCCTCAGCGTTCCTACTAATGTCAATCTGTGATTCTGATACAGATCATTCGCCAGCGGTATGGCAGTAAAGTAATTGTCGACTGTTACATTTCGGCCGCTTCCACTGCAATGCCTGAGAAGACGTTTTACGACACTTGCAGCATCATTAGGTAATTGAAACTGGCCATTGGGTTGCTTTCCAGCATATATCTCCAAATTGTGTTATATAAAATGTTCTTGCATCTACTGCTGCATATATTTTGATACCATACTTCGCGGGTTTATTGGCAACATATTGCCTGAAACGACAACGTCCCCTAAACGCCTCAAGCATTTCGTCTATGGTAATGTATTCCCCAACGGAGTAGTACTGCACACATTTTTCAACAAAATGATCAAAGATGTACCGCAGTGGAGTCAGCTTGTGCTCTTTTAGTCGTTCCTGCCTGCTGGTCTTATGGTCAAATCTAATAGCTTGTACTAGCAAGTGAAACCGGTTCTTGGACATAACTGCTAAAAAAAACTCTGGTGCTGTTCCATCTGTCAGCCATAGCTCGTTTGTGTTCAAATGTTGAGATTTTTTGACGCCAGCTAAGTACAAAACCCTCAGAAAAGCGTGCATTTCTTCAAAATCAGTAGGCAAACAATCTCTCTCACGTTGATATTTAGGTCTCATGAGGTCAAGCTGTAGATTTGTACATTCCACGATAAGGCCAATAATTTCATCTGGAAAAAACAATTTCCAGCAATCCATAAATGTTTTAACATTTTTGGCAGCATTTTTCACTCTAGGTAATTTTGTTACAATGTTTTTCGAACGCGTTTTACTTCGGATAATGTCTTTATGCTGAAACCTCTTTGTTACACCATCTTTCCCAATGTAATATAGTTTACTGTGAGTCACTGTTTCAGTCTCTTGAGGTTGGAGGTCCTCGACATCGGATTGCTCGGTGTGCGAATCATGGTCGCTGTGTTCAGACGGTGCATCTTCATCTGAGACATCACATTCTACTGCAAACAATGCATCTTCTTTTTCCAGTTCTTCCCAAAGTGCCCACAATCTTTGCTGTTCCTTTTCATATGACATTTTAAGAAAATGGAACTTCAAGTACTTTCAACAAGATCACTCGCGTAGTTAGATATTTCCTAATAACTTCGCAAAAAAACATGAACGTGATGACTCGCGTGTTAGATTTCGTCTAACAGTTTCGTAGCGCTCGCCTAAACGCCACTAAAACAACTTTGTCAACGGCAGCAGGCAAAACCCAATATTGGGAGGGATACTACGATAGATGAACTAGGAATGCATGGATCGACGTTGCCGCACTACCATTCTTGATCTTTTACTGAAGGAAAATGTTAAAATGTTAGACAAAATCTAACAGCGCTAGTGATCGCGGGTTGTTTGATAGGGGGCAAATAGTGGGCTTATGTGAGGCTGGTTGGTCCTTTAGAGATATAGCCACCAAGGTGCACAGTCCAAATATGGTGGTATTTTGTTGTCGGGAATCAGGAAGGCTGTACACTGAGAGTTAGAGGTACAGGACGTGTCAGAGGAACTGCCCAGCATTAAGGTCGTCGTCTTAGGCTATTGGCTCTACGGGTCCACAACGTCAATTGCGGATCAACGGTTTGGAGAGCATGGAAACCCTATTACAATGCGAATTGTTTATCACCAAATCAACAGTCTTTGAACAACCTGATACCGTCTTCAGTTTGTCCTATCCCTCACTCCTAGGTACCGAAGTAATCGACTGGCCTGATGCACAGGACAGCTGAACTGGGACCTCGAATAGAATACCAAAGTCGTTAGTGATAAATCTAAATTCTGTTTGGGGAGAGGGAGAAAGCGACGAGGTGAAAGACGAAATCCACAATTTTCTATGGAAACCCATATGCACCACACTGTTGGAATTGTGATATAGAGGACTACTGTTTATAGAAGCAGGTCACCTTTTGGTATGCATCTGAGGCAACATGAGGTGAGGCAACCTTATAAATGGATGCTTACCAACCCACTTTTCCAACAAGATAATACCCGACTACATATACCCAGAGTTACGTTTGTCCAAGTCGCTTTGTTGCTTTGACTTCTAGATCTTCCATTGACAATATGGAAAGAATATTACTCCGTTTGCCCCATCCAACACAGACACACCAGCGTGACTTGGGGACGAGGAACAAGTAGCTTGGGACAAAATAGCTCAAGACGAATTCTCTATCGATATTCATGATACCATTTGGTTTTACTGTTTGCTTTTCGTCTGACACCACGATTGTGAAACATGTGGCTTGCAAGCATAAATACGGAGAACTACTAAGCTCTCTAAATAGTAGTCTGACATTAGCATACTCATGCCGGTTTTGTTTTGCTTATCAAGGCAGTAATGTCCAGTTTGAAAATTTACTAACCTGTATAAATCCACAGTTATTAAGCAACAGTTATACACACATAACATATACGGCCCGCAGTATATCTAAGTTGCGCGCACCATCCATATTGGAATATTAAATACCAACTTTGCAACCAACTTCCATATACATTACGTTCTTAGGGCGTTTAAATGAGGGAAAAATAGGGAAAAACTGCATTACAGTCTGCACGCTGCTACAATGTATGCAAATTATGCAAATCCAGGAACAGGACAAAATTGTTATGGCAGCACGGAAACAATACATCCACTTTAAGGTTGAGACATAGTTCAAGAATGAATTGGAGTTGGTATTCGGTTTCGTAATTCGATTTAGCAAATAACAGAGGGATATAGCGATAGAAAAATTATGACAGCTTATAACGATATATTTTTAGGTAATAATAATTATTGTATGTCACAACACACGACACTGTCTTAAGACAGCGGCGGCAAGGTAGGGTAATTAACAATTGAAAGAATGGGCGGTTGCTATGGACACGACGTTTGGGTAACGAATATGATGACTCTTTAGCTGGTCATGCTGGCCGTCACGATTACGTTCACGTTCAAAGATGTAAGCATCCAAATCGCATAGCACAATGTAAGGTGTTTCACCGAATACTTGGTGACACAAAAATCGACCGCGTCGCTCCATCTGAACCGTATTGTTGCATTTATAGGAGTAGAGCAGCTGAATAATAGAGTGACCTCGAGTGACAACTTTTACGCAGCGTTCAGCACATGGCTAACTCTGACGTATCGACACGATTCACGTTCGTATAATTTGGCATTTTCCCAACAGATCCGGAATGTGCAAGGCGTTTAACATGTCACTAGAACATAAAAACGCATAGTATATTTGGCATACTATACTTATAGATTATTATATCTGTAAAGATCAATAGAAAGATCATCTTTGTGAAATTCTGATTTCTGCAGCAGAAAGGATGAAGAGTTTTACGGTTCGCCGAAGAAAACTCCTCGGAAGGTCAGGTTTGGAGGAGAATCTGTTAAGATGCGTACTCCTGAGACTGACAGTAACCATGGTATGTATTTAATATTATTCATACACGAAACTTGAAATTACCGTTAATAGAATTTTGTAATTTTGCCCAGAATAAACAATATTTGTATAAGCCACCTTGTCGCTTTAAGGCATGCAACAAAAAATCGAGATTTTGGTGCTGAATTGATATAACGATTGGGGTTTAAACTGACGATGTTGAAGGATGGTCATACAGAGTAGTACGATTTCAATATATTTTAACTGCCCATATTACTCCTTAGAGTGGTATGTAGCTCTATGATAGTAAGTCATATTTACACACCTATTTGGTGAAAAGGTGCTTTCTTGCGATAGTTATTTCGTATCGAACTTCTCCAGCTAGTTTTAGGTCATTTTCAGGTTATTTGGGTGTGTTCTGTATTAGATGGACACTGTTTTGTGGATAGTTGATCACGATATCCTCAAAGTATAATGAGATTGAAGTGCTGAACTCCGTGGTTTGTAATTTACCTTCCTGTTTTTTCTAACAGGCAATTTTTCCACTACTGATCGTTTTTTTTTGGTCGTATAACAAATTATGTTCCTATATGCCTTCTCCCTACTTTAATCTGTTAGTTAGAGAAGAATCCTTTCAACTGGATATTTGGTCAATCTTACGGAATGGAGAAAGAGCTTTGAATGGAAATGCTCTTATGGCCACTATGGAACCGAGATCCTGTTTTAGAGTTAGGATTATACAGCTGTGCATCTCGGCTTCGCGATTGATCCTGTTACAGAATTATGCTCTCTTACCATTCTTCTCGATGTTGAATTACTTCTTCTTAAACGAAGACAAGCAAATCTTAATTCTACACACGAGACCAACGTTTGCGTCAGCATTGTCGACAAAAAATGTTTGTCTCTTGACTTCAGTAGGTATATTAATATAAGGAATATGGGTTCTGGATAATTCCAACCATGGATCATGGATATGCTTCCGCAATAATATTGAAAGATCTCTCATCGAAGAGTGTTTCCTAGATAATTGATGGGACCCTTAAGCGAATAGTACATCACAACCCTCCTGCCAAGGTAGTGGTTTGCTCGAGGAGAAAACTCATCCTGACAGTTTCACAAGACAACGATCAGGAACACTCATCGAAACTGCTGGTTAAAGAAATAGTTGCACCACAACTGCAAACCACAGGATATTCTCTTCTCAATACCCAATCTCAATCTGGTTGAATTTCTTTAAAATGAACTCGATCGAATAGTCATTAAGCAGTGACCAACTCGCAAGAATTGCTCAGAAACAACGAAAAAAAGAGGCGCAAAACGTCTTTTCTCTCAGATAAATTCCCCAGAATGCTATGAAGTATTGCAAAAGTATTGAATGTGACAACAGGATTCTTGGATCAAAGAGATGTGCAAATATAACAGTCAGTATTTGAGGTTTATTTAAGACTAGAAAGTAAAATAAACAATGATGAGTTGACATTTTATTATTGTTACCTATATGACCCAGCTACTATTCTTTTCCTTTTAATTTTGTGTCCTAAAACTTTTGAAGGGTAGTTTATCTATTTATCTAACTAAAAATTGATGGAGTATTTCAAAGAATGTCAGTATGGTACTATAAATAAGAACCAGTAAACTGATTTTCAAATGCTTCAAGGTAGTCAAGATTGTCAAGAAGAGATTAGGATCACTGTCACAGACGCAGTCTCTATCGAAACTAGAAAAAGCCTTATTCCTGTTAGGATAACCTCATTGCCTAACAGTCCCAAGAAATCACTTCTTCCGATGGCCAAGAAACCCAGGTTACATAAGTCTGCTCCAGATCTGAGGACAGGAAGGTCCAGGATACCTATTTTTAAGAAATCGGGTACTTCGGGGAAGAGTACCGACAGTTCAACTCTCAAAGAAGGTAAGCATATGATCTAATGACTTGGACACCAGATACTCATCTTCTGATGTCCTGAGCTTTATCTGAGCTCTTCAAAAAAATGGAGTGAATAATACTGGTTCAGTACTTAATATCATTGGAACAAATCCTTTCTTAGAATTACTAGTGATAAGCGACATCTGAGACAAGCTTGATTTCAATAATTTTCAGCCAGTGACTAACAATTTTAAAAACATCCAGAGTGAAAGGATCAGGGCCTATAAGTGGGATTATTGGCCTGAAACTAACCCAAACTTTTGCAAATACATATTTTAAACCACATGTATTTTAAGCTTTCATCAATATTTTTCTTTTTATTTTATTGCTTGGCTATTTTTTAAAGCTCAAACCTCGTAGTTTTTGCACATGTCCAAAATTCTCTTATTCTCCAACATTAAACTTAGTATTTTTATATTCGCGCATGTTCTACTTCAGGTTTTAACAAAGGACATTGATATGAAAATAAAAGTGGTGCTCCACACCGCTCACATTAAAAACAAGAGTTGAATCAAATCTAAACACAATTACAATAAGACCTCACTTTTATTTAATCGATAGATGTTTTAGAATGTTCTGAAAATTTTGATGTCTCGTAACATCCGCAAAACGGAATATTCAAAATTAGAAATTATTAGCATACTATTTTTCCTCGCTAACTGGCGCGAAAAGTAAAAAGTCAAAAATTGACGATAAGTTCAGCATTTAGGTTGTAACCCTTTTTTTGTGGCGCAATGCAGTTTTGTGAACTTCAAGTTTAAGAAGTCTGGACATGTTTTTATACTTTATGACGAGAATATTTTGGCAATGTCTGGACCTCATGCAGTGTTCTTTCGAACATTTCATGCAATGCTTGTTCTTTCAAACATTTATTGTTCTTTGGGGATTAGATTACTTTAGGTAGGAATGACTGTGGTTTTGCTGGTAGCGTATGTGACTAACTACCGCATATTCATATGCAGTACTTTTTGAGACAAACTTATGTTGAAAGTCGCTCCGGTCGCTCAATTCATTCCTTGTCGTTTTAACTTGCGTAGGTTTTTTTCACAGCCAAAATTTCCTGGACTATCGTTATTGTCCGGAATAGAGCCTTGAGACAGGTACGGCGATACACCACATAAATATTTCGAACCAGTCTATTTATATATATTGGTTTTATTTAAGAAATGACTGGATAAATTAGCTCTTCCATTCTGGAGGAAGTCGTGCACAATAGTCCCGAGGTTTAATCAAACACTTCGTGAAAGGTCTAGCGGTACGTAAATAGTCCTGAACATTCATTAATATTTACCTTGTTGCTATTTTCTCCCACTTGCAGTATTGTACACATGTACAAGCGTCGGGTCTCTTTCTGCAAGTTTTTATTTGCATGAATATTATACGTACCTCTTATCACTTATTCATGAATATGCCAGTATTTCGCTATTTATAACACCTTGAATCAGTATGCTAAATAGCTGTTTTAAATCTCCATTTTCTGTGACCCTTAAGTGAAACTACATATGTGGGTTCAACTGTTATTGACGTTTCGGCTCACTTAGTCATGCAAATTAAGAATCGTTAGTAAAGAGTGAATCCTACATAAGTGGTTTTGGTGAACGGCTAGAAAATATGGAGATTTATGAGCGTCAAAACTATACCATAAGCCTCAGATGTTGGCTCAAGAGCCTTAACGTTTAAGGGCTCAAAATGGAAAAACTGACAGTAGTAGGTAGGTAGTTTAACTTAATACGAGTAGCTAACCTATCTTTCTCCCAAGCATGGTTCTACACTGAAATTAGTCAAGATAGTATAAATTTTCAGGATAACGAAAAGATGCTCTATGTTATACTTACGAGTTTTTCCTAAAATGGTATGAGGTATCTGAGGACTACCGAGGCCTGATGCCATGCAAAATGTAACTTTCGAGGCTTTACAGGTAAACGAACGCTATGCTAACCCAAGTTGTCTGAGCAGATCCAATAACGGATACATACGCAATATTACTGTATACCAATAACATCCAAAATTATAAAACGTTATTAGGTAGTGACGAAAACTACTGAAAAATAGCTGACTATGTTTAAGGAGTGCAAGTTACTTTGCCACTCGAGAAATACTTTGCACGGATGAAGCTAGGCGGAAGCAACAGATTTTACGAGAGTGATACAATCCTTCACGCTCAAATTGCGCAATTGTGCTCAAAATATCTCATAAATGTACATAATGTCAAAAAATCAAGATAATGTCATAAAAACTCGATATATTGTCAGCCTTTAAGTAGAGTTATGTGCGGGATGGTTGGCAGCCCTTTCTGAATGCACTGATCTTCTAATTGTTGGTTACAATAGCATTGTGCGCTATAGTAGGTATATTCTTTAATTCACCGGTTGAGCTACCGGTGCAACCGGTTACTCAATTTTGCGTCCTTTAATTTCCGCTGGAACGACCGGTTGTACATCAAACTTGACTGCATATTGATGGTGGATATGCCAACAGCATCCACCGATGTTCGGGCTCGGTTGATCACCGATATTCTAACCTCTACATTTTATCAGTTTTTGACAACTAGTTTTGAGTGAAAAAATGGAAGAAGAAAATATTGAAGTTATTCTACAACATAAGAGTCGCCTGAAATTTAATTTTTTTTTAATCCAATTAGAAATAAACAGAGCATCTGAAGGCAAGTGATTTTGTTTTGAATTATGCATAATTCGAGAATTTCTTGGTTTTCTGATTTATAGTTCTTATATTGATTCTCGGAGCGCAAATTCTCTCCGCTTTATAACTTCTTCATCGGAACCATCACTCGAATCGCTTAACAAACGTTTCAAGACAATACCAACTGCTGCGTACATTGCCATAATGATTTTAAATGATACGGTGTTCAAATTAACAAGTATCCATTCACTATAAAACAAAGGTTAGGTTTTCTCATATGACAGCAACCTAAAGGCTGAAAATGTGTCTTTTTATTAACCACCATTCAACGGAACCGCTGACGTCATTATATCTGCTATTAACCATAAGTTCACCGGATCCTCCAGTGATGGAATCATCCGGTGAATTAAAGAATATACCTAGTACGAGGCTAGTTTTTAACGGGCATATGTGCTACTTGGTCAATTCAAGTCGGCCTCATCAATTAAGGAGGATTTTAGATGCAGTTGCAAGAAAATGCGTTTTGTTGAAAAGTCATATATGGAAATATTACAACCATAGAAAATAGGTCTCGGGACGCTCGGAAGGAACCTCAATGCGGCATTATGCTGTATTTATTTTGACAAAATGGGATTTGCATTTGCCTGATGACGTTATAATGTTAGAACAAAATGACCTAAATAATATAATTATGCGGAACAAAAACAGGGTTAGTAAGTTGAAGTGCGTGGAATATATATCAGATTTTAGATAAGGTAGTTAACGTCTCTCGGCGACTTTTACTAATTACTACAAAGGATATTTGCAAATGTACACTTAATATCAACTATATTATGGTACAAATGTAGAGCTATTTATGACCGTAAATTAAAATACCGCAATCCCAGAAAAGATACACTAAAATGTAGGAAGCAACTTGTGTTAGTGTTTTCTACGCGAACACAAACTTTGATTTGTTTGTCTTTAGAGTCGCCGACGGCTTTGGAGATCGCCCGGTAAAGTTTTTTTGTCTGTTTCGGACTTTGGCTGACTGCATCTGTTCTGATCCGGTTAGGAGTGATCGTCACGTATAACCAAAATTCGTATCTCAAGTGCCAAATAATATTGTTGTATACATAATCAATTTCCCGTAGCACTAATTTGCTTAAAATAGCCTCGGTAAGGACTATATCTTAGCGCATATCGCAAATACTTCATTTCTTACTTTAAAATGAAAGACTAGGATGTAACTTGCACGAAAATATCATTTTCTCTTCAAGGAACCCTCTGCTTGCTATTTTATAGAACTTCAGAGTTGCATTTTTGGTGCTAATACTCTAGAACAGAATTACTGTTTTATACGCTTTTTTTGATTTTTGCACAAAATGATGCTCTAAATTATAAGAATACAACATACACTGTATAGTACTAGGGAAAATGGATGTGAAACTGTGAAAAATCGTTGTTTTTTGCAAAAAAAGGTTCAGTCAGCCGTGTTATTACACATTAGCTTATTAGCTAACATAACAGTTAAAAATACATACGTAAATGATGGTATATACTTCGTAAACCGTGTAGAGGTGTTGTGTTGTGCTTTTTCGGTCTTCTTGAAATTCCTTAACCATTTTTTTCGCGTATTTTCAATGAGATCAAAGTTTTTGCGTTTATAAGAAATATTTGAAAGTACAAACAATTCTGAATGACCATTTTATAAAGTTCATTTCGTGACAGATAAGATAAATCATGTCCATTGTTGTCAAGTTCTACCTCTTTTGGGAGAAATACATAATAAAAAATAAGGTTATTTGCAAAAAAAGTCTCAATTTATTGTAAATGGCTTGTTTTATGAGAAGTTGACCCAATATTTACCGAAAACTAGATGAAATTTTGAACAGTATGTGTCTAAGCAGTGGAAACTGCATCAGCGGCTCGCGTGACAGAAAATACAAAAGGCACCAGCGGTCATTGCATACAGGGTGTTTCAGTTTATTGTTGCATAACTTTGACATTCGATAGAACTTTTAAAATTAATGCATAAAGTCTATATAAACACAGGGTGGTAATACAGGGTGTTTAAATTTACTTTCTAAGATAGTTTTTTTTAAATATTTCGAACAAAATTTGATGTATAACAGTGAAAATTGGTATACAAGGGTTGTTTGGTACGACAAAACGAACCATGGGCATAGTTTTATTGTAGCCGCTAGAGGGCGCTCTCAACTGAACCTGTAGTGTATTAAACTGACCGAAAATTTTTTCTTAGTGCAATTTTTTGCTTTTTGAATAAAAAAAATGATTCTCCGCACTTTTCAACATAAAAAAGCTCTCTTGTGAATTTTCGTTATAGTTAGCCGTTTTTGAGATATTTCGATTTTTAAGGTTCGATGCATTTTTAATTAGTTATGATAAAATCATGTTAAAAAGTCAGTATCTCGATAATTTTTAGAAGTAGGCTGTGCCTGCAAATATTTTCGAAATTGAAAGCAGAATAAGGTTAAACGTCAATTAGTTGACGGTTAGTTTTGTTGTCTGTTGAAACCTGAAACGTTTTTTTGCAATTGTGAATGCCCGAAATTTAGTTTTTTTTTACCTGTTTTTTTTTAAAGTTTTATAAAAATGCCATTTTTATTCTCCAATCAAGAGTTAGCGGATATTCATTTTGTGTATGGCTTTGTAAATGGAAACGCAGCAGAAGCAGCCAGAGAATACGCACGAAGATTTCCAAACAGACGACATCCAACTCGCTCAGTATTTGTAACAGTGCATCGCCAAATAATTGAAAATGGTTTTGGAAATCTCCAAAGGGATCAAAACATAAATGTTCGTCAGCGCAGATTTACCCGTATGATTCTGCGTGAGTTTGATAGAGATCCGACCACAAGTGTTAGGAGAGTTTCTGGTGCCTTGGGAATTTCAGCAAGTCATGTTCACCGTGTTCTTAGAAATGACCATCGACGTCCTTAACATTTACAACCTGTGCAAGGACTACAGCCAGGGGACGGAGTACGAAGAATCACATTTCGTCAGTGATAGAACTGATAATTATAGGGAGTTTTCAAGTAACGTTTTATCGACCGATGAGCCATGCTTCACTAGACGTGGAGTGGTGAATTTTCATAATCAACATATTTAGTCGCATGAAAATCCGCATGGAGTTCGGGAAAGAAATTTTCAGCATCAATTTAGTGTGAACGTGTGGATTGGTATCTACCGTAATCGACTATTTGGACCCTACCTTTTGCCTGCAAGGTTAAATGCTGCGACCTTCTTGGAATTTTTAAAGGCTGAACATGCAAATATGTGGGATGATGTTATGTTAGATTTAAGAAGATTGGCCTGGTTCCAGCTTGATGGTTGTCCAGCTCATTATTCGAGAATAGTTAGAAACTGGCTGGACGAAAATTATCCAGAAAGATGGATCGGACGTGGAGGACCAGTCGCCTGTCCTCCACGATCCCCTGACCTAAATCCATTAGATTTCTTTGTGTGGGGATTTCTAAAAGAAAAAGTGTACCAGACTCACGTAACCACAAGAGATATGCTAATAGACAGAATCAGGAATGCATGTGATGAAATAAGGCCTTATTTGAATAATGCTATACCACGTTCGATCATTCGTAGATGTGAATTGTGTATTGAACAATTGGGTTTACATTTCGAGCAACTACTTTAGATTTTGTATGTTTGTCCTAACTATCCAATAGCATTTTAGTTGTAAATAATTAATTTAATTTGTTAAAAATAATATTGGAAAATTAAACAAATTAATATTATGTTTTTTGTGTTTATTTGGAGTTAGGAATTATTGCTGTGTTTAAAAACACAATCTAAACGATTATCTTAATTACTTGTAATGCCCAAATCGAAAATGTAAAAAAAATATTATTTTCCCATAAATAATTAAAAATGCATCGAACCTTAAAAATCGAAATATCTGAAAAACGGCTAACTATAACGAAAATTTTCAAGAGAGCTTTTTTATGTTGACAGGTACGAAGAATCAGTTTTTTTATTCAAAAAGCAAAAAATTATACTAAGAAAAAATTTTCGGTCATTTTAATACACTACAGGTACAGTAGAGAGCGCCCTCTAGAGGCTACAGTAAAACTATGCCCATGGTTCGTTTTGTCGTACCAAAAAACCCATGTATACCAATTGTCACTGTTATACATCAAATATTGTTCGAAATATTTAAAAAAAAACTATTTTAGAAAGTAAATTTAAACACCCTGTATTTCGAAAGCTGCGCATTTTTCGACCCATATTTATATAGACTTTATGCATTAATTTTAAAAGTTCTATCGAATGTCAAAGTTATGCAACAATAAACTGAAACACCCTGTATAAAAAAAACAACTTTGATTCGTCGATTTGGACCACCTCGCTAGGTCCACCCAACATATCATCGTCGAACATTATAGTTAGAAAAAGATCAACGATCATTTCATCAAATCATCAAAAAACTTGCAATGTTCTTTGTTATGTTTTCATTACTTAGTGATTGGCAATAGCTACTTTTTCTGTTATTTCTCATATATATCACATTTAGTTAGGTATATTTTGTGACATCAGCTTCACTTTAAATAATTCTTCAAGAACATACATACAAAAAGTAAGTAAATAGATTATAACTATAATATAGGAAAACAATAAGCGAAGTACTTTTGAGAAGGGCATAAGGCATTCTTCAAAAAAGTGTCTAGCTAACGCTATGGTAGGGCACGAAGTGGGTTTAGTACCGTAAAATCTGCCAGCCACACCTCCAAATCGCATTCTAATGACAATCCTTAGCTAGCGCTAGCATATAAGTAAGAGTTTGACAAACCAAATTAGGGTATATAACTATCCATGATTTGGCAACATCGTAACAAGATGGAGAGAGTAGGATAGTGATGGTGGTGAATGGTGGTGTATTGATGGGAATATTTATCGAAAATAAAATAAATCACTACTTAACAATGAACTATTTTCATCATTAAAATAATGCAATATTGCATTATTGCGATGAATAGTGTCACAGTAATTTAAATTGTATGTTATATTCATATAATTTTCAGCAATCTTTTGTGTAAACAAGAAAAAAACAGCTTATAAAACAGTATTCTATACCACAGTACTACCACAGAAAATGCAACTTTGAAGTTCTACAAAATAGCAAGCAGAGGGTTCCTTAAAGAAAAAATGGTACTTTCGTGCAAGTTACATCCTAATCTTTGATTTTAAAATACGAAATGTAATATTTGCGATATGCGCCTTAGCCTCTCCTACCTACATATACGGAAGTTGCCTATCTGAACCGTTGTGCTTACTCTGGCGATTATTTAACATCTATGGCTTGATTATCAAAAAATACAACATACCTGCTTTACATCATTAAAAATCGACGATCGGATCCCAATCTGACAAGTTACATTTAAGCGTTAGTACACAACTTTAAAGCATTAAAGCACTATATGACTAACAAACTTCAAATAAAAAACTAGCCTATAAATGTCCTGTTCAGCAGTTATCCACTTTCTGTTTAGCTTTCCGTTAACCCATATATTACTTCCATCAGTGACATTCAAATGTGAGACGTTTACCTCAAGGTGAAAAGCATATTTTGCAGATGACATGGAACAGGAATATGGTATAATTAACCTGGTAGCCTGGCTGAGATGATTTGTTAGATCGTACAGTTGACCTCATTTGCAAATAAGCCGTCGGTCTATGAATGCCGTTAGTTAGCTATGCAAAGGTAGACAAAATATTTATCATATTATCTCGACCATATACAGTCTCTGAGATCGGCGGCAGTAATGTTTCGGTACTTCTCGTACTTTGGGTCCACACCCACTTAATAACAGTGACCGTATTTTTTTGCTGCTACCAAATACCAGCCACGTCTTTTTAAAATATATTTAACTACACCTTAAAATGACAAACCTTAGCAGACATTCAGATGCAAACTTTGAAGGCTTTTTATCGGCTGTTTCCTTTGCAGGTCAAACAAAAAGACTCTCGGTCCACCGTAAAGATGCAGATTCCAAAACCAGTCCTAAAAGGAGGGAGATGTACAGTCCTGTTCCAGTTCACAGAGAAATTGAAGTATTTCACAACTTAACCAGAAGCCCAGAAAGGAAGCGAAGATCCCCAGTCGACTTCGATATAAAGAAAATAGACGAAGAGGAGCATATCAGTTTCCAAGTATGCACTGATGGAGCAGCTTCAAAAACTGATTCGTCTATAACCCCAACATCAGAGCCCCAGAAGACAGTATTGGCTCATGTACTTGCTCTTCCAGCACCTAAGAGTAATAGTGAGGAAGATCAGCCGAATTCTTACGGTAGCTTCCAAATTTGTTCGGAATCTGCTTCCAAATCGGATGCAACAAAATTACAAATCGCTCCTCCTGAAGGTCAAAGGACTCGCTCGAGTACACCAAACAACGCCACACTAGCTTCTTCCAAGATGTCGGAACCTACCAAAACCACACTATCTTCCCCGGAGCCTTCCAAAATATTAGCTTTGCCAGCACCTGAAGACGTCAATAGAAATACGAATACCACCTACAACAGTTTTAAAGTTTGCGAAGAAAAGACTAAATGTGAAAAGGACGAGAGCTATGATAGCTTCCAGGTCTATCAGACCCCAAATGCAATAGAACCTTCGAATCCAGAAAACGAAGCGAAACCTCAAAAAGAAGAATTTAATAGCTTCCAAGTAGAGAGCGAAGAAGCGAATATGAACCAAAGTTACCCAAATTACTCCCAAAATGGGACACCTTCCCAGAGTACCAAGAGCAACGGGTTCAATTTCCATCAACTTTCATCATTGAGTGCAGAGGTAAGCATTTATTACCTGTCGATAATAGCTTCAATATACCTGAATACGTAATTAAAATATGGAGTCACATTTAAACCTTTTACAAGTGGGTCAAAAGTGAGACACCCTGTATAATTGTGAGTACTTTATGAGTGTGACCCATAAATGATTTTCTCTGAAAAATTTCTGTTTAGAAGCAATATTTGGTTCCCACACGGTTGAGACACTCTCTATTTATGGCGACCACCGTCTCTAGGTGTCAGTGTCGCCACTAGGCGAAGACATTTCCTTTTATGTCGTTAAGCAGTTGTGAGAATACTGAATCCTAAAAAATTATTGCCGGGGATGTTGGGGAGTGATCTTTCCTTGGAAGGTTTATATCATGTTTAAAAATTCACAATTTTCTTTGGTAGTAGGTATTTTTGTTCTTTGGTAACATGACGGTGATGAAAATTGTGAGTAAACGTCGAAATACAGCTACATACTTGGACATCTTCTTGGAGAATAAGTTGATTAATTCTTGAAATCATCAATCTTCAGTCGTTACACTATAAAGGGTTTTGCATTAAGGACTTGACAACTTTCTTTTTAAATAAAGCGCAAACCATTTGAGATATCTCGTAAATTTTATTATTCGATTGATGTATACTCAAAACATTTATGTCCGGAATTCGACCTGGTTCATTTGTCCACCATGGGCATCTTCGCAGCGATCGATTTGTTGAACCCAATTTTCAGTGACTCGGCCACACATTACGACAGAAACGGCCGCTATCTCTCGTTCAATATTGGTTCTGAACTCCCCTAACGATGCCGGCTTGTTGGCAGAGACCAATGATTTAATGCAGCCCCACAAAAAAAGTCTAGAGGTGTTAAATTACATGATCTGTGCGGCCATTCGACAGGACCATTTCTCCACATAACGTGTTCACCAAATTTTGATTTCAATATGTTGATTGTTTCATCCGCTGTGTGGCTTGTGACCAGTGGCGGCTCGTGAGGTAGTGCCACGGTGCCATGGCACTACCTTGTCTTCTTCAAAAAGAATATTTTTTTCAATCTTCAATGTTTTACTTTATTTTCTGCTTTTTCATTTTTTTTTTGGTATAAATTATATGAAGTGACAACACTGACAACGTGACAACACCGCAAGCACCCGATCGACGCGACGAGACGAGCATGCCTTGACCTTGACGTCATCAACTTGTGCCAATTTAGGGCCGGTCCAAATAAAAAGAGAGAAATTTTACCAGCATCGCATACGAGCGACAGAGATAACGCTACGCATGACATGTTTATATGAGGTGAATAGCGAAAGACAAGTATAATTTGTGCCAGGCACATCATCAGTCGTAATTCGTTATCAAATGATATCGGCGGTGTTTTTGTTCGGTCGGTCGTTTGGTTATGATTACGTCTAGTGCTGATTTCGGTCTTTTTTTACCTGAAAAGTGAGAAATAACGTTTTTGTTTTTGTACGTCTAGTGTTAATGAACTGCTCTGTTTTGTGATCATATTTTTTACTGTTTTATTAAAACTAGTGAAAATGAATAAAATCGGGATATTAAAAAACTCACTTAGTGGTTTTTCGCTGGATCAAAAACTGCAAATTAAAGAATTAGGACGGCCAATACCCGATTTAAAAATTGAGAAACAAAGTGGTAGCGGACAAAAATCGCGCTGTCGCAAATTTAATAAAAATGTGTACGATAAAAACAGCTGTATATGTGGTTGTGAAGAAACGAATAAACTATTTTGTTTTGTATGTGTTCTATTTGGAGGTGACGAGACTTGGTCAAAAAAAGGTACAGACGATCTTATACATATATGGGATAAAATGAAGACCCACGAAAAATCTAAAGTCCATATGAATAATGTTTTTAGCTTTTCTATTCTTGGTAAATTAAATATAAGGACTCAACTCAATTCGGCTTATCGCAATGATCTAATTAAACATAATAATCAAGTGGATAAGAATCGATATGTATTGAATAAAATTATTAATTGTATAAGGTTTTGTGGAGCATTTGAGTTAGCCTTAAGGGGTCATGATGAAAAGGAAAATTCGGAAAACAGAGGCATATTTAAGGAGCTGGTGAATTTTAGCGCCGAATTAGACAACGAATTGAAAGTCCATATTCAAAGTGCCAAACTTTTTGAGGGTACCTCAAAAACAACTCGAAACGAGCTTCTTGAGTGCATGCTAGATGTTTATCATGAAGAAGTTAAGAAGGAGATTGCAAATTCTCCTTTTGTTGCAGTAATTGCCGATGAAACGACGGACGTAGCCTGTGAATTTCAGTTAGTTATTATTTTCAGATATTTGTGTAAAGGACAACCAGTTGAGAGATTTTGGAGATTTTACGTCCCCGACGGACACGATGCCAAATCAATCGCTGCATGCGTTTTAAATGTTGTAAATCCATTACTAGATCAAAATCCAAACAAATTAATAGCTCAAAGCCATGATGGTGCGTCTGTTATGAGTGGTGAATTGAATGGCGTTCAAAAAATTATTAAGGAAACTTATCCACTTGCAAATTATGTTCATTGCTATGCACACCAGTTAAATCTAATTATGACAAGCGCATGCTCTGTCAATAAGCAGGCTAGAATATTTTTCCATAATTTATCTGGATTGTGCTCTTTTTTTTCGACGTCTCCTCAAAGAACAAAAATTTTGGATGAAATAGTTAATCGCAGATTGCCAAGATCTTCCCAAACACGTTGGAATTTTCAGTCACGAGGTGTTCATACAGTTTATGAAAATAGGAAAGACCTGATTGAAGTTATGGACAATATAGAAAGTACTTCACGCGATTCTTCGTCGATTAATCAAGCCAGTGGGTACAAATTAAAGCTGCAAGATACAAATTTTGTATTTTGGCTAAGTATTTTCCATAAAATAATGCCACATGTTGAAATTGTCTTTAACCAATTACAAAAAGTATGCACCGATTCTGTTAAGGTCAAAAATGATTTAGAGAATTTTGAAGCAGCAATTCAAACTATACGAGAACAAATGGATAGCATTATTGACGATATTGAACGAGTGTAGAGAGAAACTGATGAACCGGCAAGAAAAAAAAGGCAAGTTGAAGAAGGCAGCAAAAAACGGGAAGCGTTAGAAATATGCGATGCAGTATTATCGCAAATAAGAACAAGATTTAACTTTTCTGGGCATTTAGTTGCTTCTAATTTATTTGTGTCTGAAAAGTTTTCTGTTTATAAACATCAGTTTCCCGAAGCACATTCAAATGACACATGCACACAATTTTCATTTTTAGACAAAAACAGGCTTAAAACTGAGTTACAAGTATTATATCAGAGAGAAGAATTGAGTACTACTTCTGGAGCTGTTCCACTATCCATTTTATTGAACGAGGAAAGATTAAATTGTACGTTTCAAGAAACTCTTAAGCTCTTTAAGTATTTTAATCACTATACCGATGTCAACATCTGAAGCAGAACGCTCTTTTTCAATGCTGAAACGGATTAAAACTTTCCTCAGAAACACAATGAAGGAAGAAAGGCTTAGTGCTTTAGGAATGCTGTCTGCAGAAAAACATTTTGTTAGTGGCATTGAATATTTTAATAATAAGGTAATCGAAAACTTTGCTACCAAAAAAGAAAGAAGAATGGACCTCATATATAGAAAACTATAGTTATAGGTACTTCTCCACACTTGTTTTATAATTTGGTGCGCGTGTGTAAATAGTTTTATTTTTGATTTTTTTTTGGACATATAGATTTATTGAACCTCAAGAACTTTGACCACTAACTATCAGGGGTAAGTTATAAGTTATTCTTTACAATTTTGAATCGATTCAAAATTATGGCTTCCATTCTGGCACTACCTCACGGAATTGGCACGAGCCGCCACTGCTTGTGACACCGTCTCGTTGAAACCACATATATCTAAAGTTGAGCTCATCCAGTTGACCAAAAAAATAACGTTACAACATGTCTCTGTAGCGATCTCCGTTGACTGTGACGTGACGGTCATTTTCATCAACGAAAAAAATAAAAAAAACGGCCCAATGACAACACCGGCATGAAAACTACTCCATGCAGCTATTTTTTGTAGATATAGTGGTGTTTTTTGAAGCACATGAGTATTTTCATCTGACCAATAATGCATATTGTTTGTTGACGAAGCCGCTTAGCCAAAAATGCGCCTCATAACTGAAGATGATTTTGCGATGAAACTGGTCACTAACTTGATCTTATAAGGGTGCAGCTCAAGATCTCTTCACAAAATTCGCCATAGTGTGGTTTGAGCGATGCCCAATTCTTGAGAACCCCGTGGAATCGACGTGTTCTGTTCGTTTGCGACGGAAGCTTGAACGGCAGCAATATTCTCGGCACTTCAACCAACTTGTTGTCTCACTAGCACGGGAACATCCAGCAGCGAATATACGGACTCAAATTTTTTTACTGACTATGAATTGATTGTCTACAGAGACGAGAATTACGACCGAAAATTGGCGTTAACGCTCTTAAAGTTGCAGCCACCGACTCAGAATTTCGGTAGTAAATTTCAATCAGTTGTAAGCGTTGTTTGTTCGTGTACTTCACCATGATGAAAATGTTTTCTTTACTGAATGTTTTGACATTGACAATTCGGTAATTGATTTAAAGGTGCGTTCACAGTGAAAGTTCAAAGTTGTCAAGCCCCTATTGGAAAATGTAACAGTGAATAAATACTCAATTTTTAATATAGCAACAATATTTTTTATAGATGCGGCTATTCTACAATACCTCAATCATATCCAAATTACAAGCTCAACATTTTTCTGCATTTGTAGCTGAATCCTATCAATACGATAAAATATATCTTGATTTTTCCTTAAGTCACAACAAATTACAATACAATGAGACTAACTCGTAAACGGCAAAGTAATAAATGTTTTATTATGCTTTCTCTCAGCATGAACGGCAACACTTTATGATTTAATACATCTTCATAATCTCCGTTTGATCGCGGTGGGGTGCTCGAAAAAATTGTTTTCCTTATCAGC